TTTTTTTTTTTTAAGACCATTGAAGAACTGGAAAAGGAAATGCTGAATGGGCAGAAGCTCCAAGGGCCTCAGACTTCTGCTGAAGTGTACCGCATCCTCAAGCAGAAGGGACTGATGGACAAGTGAGTCTTCCCAGTGCCCGCGAGACCAGTTCTCATGACTTCCAGCCCCATGCAGATGAGCTCAACTGTGTGACAAGCATAAGTTAGAACGTTATTGGATTAGTTTTGTCCTTTGTGTGATGTGCATGTCTATGGCAGGGAGCATCCACCTACCCCCCAAATGAGTATTTACATAAAAACCAAGTTGAACTTCAATGAGAAGAGCTCAATTTTATAAGGCCAAGATCCCCAACCTTTTTAGCACCAGGGACCGGCTTCATGGGAGACAGTTCTTCCATAGACTGGAGCATGAGGGGTAAGAGGTTTCAGGATGATTCAAGCACATCACATTTATTGTGTGTTTTATTTGTATTATTATTACATTATAATAGATAATGAAATAACTATACCACTCACCATGATGCAGAGTCAGTGGGAACGCTAAGCTTGTTTTCCTGTAACTAAAGGGCCCCAGCACTAGCATCACCAACTCAGATCGTCAGAGGGTAGATTCTCATAGGCAGTGCAGCCTGGATCCCTCACATGCACAGCACAGGAGGATTCACCCCCATGAGAATCTAATGCTGTCGCTGATCTGGCAGGAGGCGGAGCTCAGGCAGTGATGCATGTCATGGGGAGGGGCCATAAATACAGACAAAGCTTCACTCACTCACTACCTCAGTCACCTGCTGTGCAGCCGAGTTCTGACAGGCCAGGACCGGTCCTCAGCCTGAGGGTTGGGCACTGCAGATAGAAGGCATGTTATAAGAATTTCAGATTCTAGCTTGTCTTGGAGGTGTTTAGTAACAGCCACATGTCATAAATTTTTAATTTTTCAAAAATTATTACTTTTTTATTCTTATTAAAAGATGTATAAGGTTGGACAATTAAGTTGGTGAACTCATCCTAGAAAAAGTGCTGCATACCTCATTGCTGAATATCACTATGGTCACCTTCAAATTGCCCCCCTTGGGAAGCTATGTACTGATGCCAGCACCTACTCCACCCTTCAACGTACTTTTTCTAGGATGAGTTTGTGAACTTAATTGTCTGACCTTGTGCAGTGACAGCTCTGATGGCCATTCCAGAAAAAGAGCTCCAAAATTGCTATGAAGGATGGATTGGGTACTGGCAACAGTGCACAGCTTCCCCAGAGGAGTACTTCGAGACCCCATCTCTAAAAAGAAATTTTAGGCTTGGGGCCTATAGCTCAACCGGCTAAGGCGCCAGCCACGTACACCTAAGGTGGCAGGTTCGAATCCCTAGCCCGGACCCGCCAAACAACAATGATGGCTGCAACCAAAAAATAGCCGGGCGTTGTGGCGGG